ACAGCCCGCGTCTTCCCGAGCTTCCACCCCGGCCTCGGCGCCCAGGACACCAGGCTTAATCCCTAATGAAATACAGCATTTAAAACAGAAGAAAGGAAATGTCTTGAGCAAACTCAGCTTCTGCGCTAAGCCTCGCGTCGCCATAATGTCTTGTGGACAAATTAGATTTCCGGAATTGAATTTAGGCAATTTGATTAGGACTTCAGACTCACTCGTTAAAAGGGAAGTACAGCTGCAACTTGGCCGGGAATTGCCTACAGGCTCTTGCATTTATGTATACATATAGCGTGCGTAAGTTTGTGTGTATGTACATGTGTGTGTGTGTACACACACATATGTATAATATATATATATATATATATATATATATATATATATATATATATATATATATATATATATATATATGCATGTGTGTGTATGAATGTGTTCGTTTGAGAGAGGAAAAAACCGAGACAGAGACAGACACAGAGAAGGGGAGAAAGAAAGACATAGAAAGACATCCCACGAGGGCAAAAAATAAGGGACAGACGAGGAAGACCAAGGAGGGGGTAGGAGGCAATCCCCCCACCCCCTCCCTCCCTCTCCTCCCACACACTCTTGTCCCGTATGCAAATTAGTCTTTTAATTATTCATGAATATCCATAAAACTCCCGAGCAGCCGAGCGAGAAGGGAACAACTTACTCAAAGAAAACGCATTACCAGTTACTGAGGGCCGTGCACAGAATCTCCAGGCGAGGGTCATTTTTTTAATAAGGTTTTCGACAACTAGATGGCGCTGAAGACGTGAAGGAAGGTTAGGCGCTCTTTCCTTTCTTTGCGATTTTGTTTGTTTGTTTATTATATCTCATGGGGAGGATTTGATTCTGTCCACATGGCAAAACTATCGAAAATGATACACAACGGTTTTATGATAATATGTATGATAATAATGATAATAGTAATAATAACAAGAGTTTAAAACATGATGGTGATAATAATGATGATGATGACAATGATGATAATGATAATGATAATAGAAATAATGATAATACTAATAATAATAATAATGATACTAATAATAATAATGATAATGATAATGATAATAATAATAATAATGAAAATAATGATAATAATAATAATAATATTAATAAGGATGATGATGATAATAATAATAATATTAATAAGGATGATGATGATAATAATAATAATAATTGTAATTATAACAATAATAATGCTAATAATAAGGATGATTACTATTACAATTAAACGATGAAATTATGACGATATAATCATAATATCAATAATGATAGGAATAATGATAGTGATGATAATGATAATGATAATAATAATAATAATAATAATAATAATAATAATAATGATAATAATAATAATAATAATGATAGAAATAATGATAACAGTCATTATTATTTTCACTATTGTTTTCATTATTATTACTATTATCATTATCATTATTACTATCGTCATTGTTACGATTTTTCTTTACTATTAATATCAATCATTATTATCATTAATTATTACTATTATCACCATTAACCATCATATTCTTTATTATTTTGAATTATCATCATAGATGGCATCATAATATTTATTATTACTTGCATTATGATAACTATATAATGTTATAATTTCGTGCATTGGTGGTTACTACAGCCAAAATAAGTAACACATTCCTATGGATATTTATCAATGTGTGTATTTTTCTATGTATGTATGCTTACGGCGAGTGTGTATATATACATAACGATTTGCGTGTATTGTTTACTACGCGTATATGTTACCCGCGTCTTGCACACACATGAATCCTCCTTAGCCGGCACTTGGGCGCGGAGCAGCGGTAACAAAGATCCCATAATCCCAAGCTGGAGAAAGCCATTGGTTACCTGCATAATAAACTAGGCGAAACGGCTCTCCAGATTTTAGGATCTTGCCGTCACCAGACTGGCTAATTAAGAGGAAAATAGTGGTTAATTATGATTGTAGCTTTAAAAATGGTCGAAGTGGTAGGGTTTAGTTCAATGTAATTATTTTGCTTTGGTTTGGTGTGTGTGTTGTTTGTAAGGGAGATATGGTTGGTTCTGGTTACTTTCCGTGTGTTATGTGTGGGTATTTAATGCTATAGGAATCTTCGAACTGATTTGCTATTCATATTATGCAGAGCCTGATTCGAAAGCATACAAACGTCTCAGCTTAACCAGCTTAAGGACATTTTGATTTCATCTTCATTAGTTTCTTTTTCAAATCTCATTCTTTCTTCATTTTCACATTATCTTATGATTCCCGTTCTAATCTAGAGCAAATATGTTTTTAAAAATCATGTTAAAATATCTTTGAAAATGTTTTCCTGCTTTTTTTTTTTTTTTTTTTTATCTTATGCGCCTCATTCGACTCTAAAGCATATATGTTAAAAGATATTTTTCAAAATGTTTTCCTGTTAGGTCAAAGTTCTTTCTCTGAACTTCCTTCTCTTCTCCAATTATCGCTCTATTCGAGTGCATGTGTTCAAAACTCAAAAGTTCGAAAATGTTTTCTGTGAGTTGAGTGTTCCTTCTTTTGTTATTGTTTTTTTCCTTCCTCTCCAATGCCCACTCTAACCGCAAGCAATAATTTAAAAATAATTTTTGAAAATGTTTTCCTGTGAGTTCAACCTTCTCCTCTTCCTCCTCCTTCTGCAGACAAGCCCGTGGTGACCCTCCAGATGGGCAGCACCTTAGACCCGGAGAACATCAAGGAAGGGGACGACGTGTATTTCGAGTGCCACATCAATGCCAACCCCGAGGTCCAGCGGGTACTTTGGTATCATAATGTGAGTATTGAGAGAAGAGTCATTTCAAGCATCCTCAGGCTAATGTGGATACTCGGAAGGATATTTGTTAGGATATTTGCGCATAAGGATACTATTTCATGAATTTAGTTGGTTATTTGTATTCATTTTATACTTCTAAGGATATTGATTTACTAATGCATGTGTTCTTTTATACAAAAGGGTGAATGTAGTTTGTTTGGACACATGTATGTTTATGCAACATGGCCAGGATAAACACACACACACACAATCATACACACACACACACACACACACATGTTGCTTATGCAACATGGCCAGGATAAACACACACACACACAATCACACACACACACACACACACACACACACATACACACACACACATACATGAACACACACATACACACACACACACACACACATATGCACATGCCGACAAACGCACCCGCCCACACGCACACACACACATAGACACGACAACAAAGAAACGATCGTAAACACACGCATAATGAATAGATTATAAACAAGCACACCCATCCACCTACCCCACCCCCTCCCCCCCACACACACGGACAAACACATCAGATAGAGATTAGAGAGAAATCGTAAAAGAGAGAGAGCGACACAGAGAGGGAGAGAGAGAAAATAAAAGAAGAGAAGCATTATCATAATTTCAAAGGTATCATCATCATCATCATCATCGTCTCCATGTTTTCTTTCTTGGCCATACTATTTTTCTCTCGTGTTTATAATCCCGAAGAACACACTTGCGCAGAGGAAGGTAATGGCCTCAGAGGAGCGGAACTTTCTCTCTCTCCTCCCTCCCTCTCCTCCCTCATTCGCATACCCCCCCCCCCCTTCCTTTGCCCTTCCTCTGCTCTCTTCTCTCCTTTCCTCTTCCCTCTCTCTCCTCTCTATGTTTATTTTTATTCCATTATTCCTTTCCTTCTTCCACTACTCAAACATTCGCTTCCCTGTCCTCTCCTCCTCCTCCTTTACCCTACTTCCTTTCCTCTCCTCCCCCTTTCCCCTCCCCACCCTCCTTCCCCTGTTTTCTCACTTCTCTCTCCTCCTCCTTCCTCCTTTTCCACTTTCCTATACCGCTATCTTTTCCTTCCTTACCTCAATTCCCTATCCCGACGTGCGTCTCCTTCTCTCTCTCTCTCTCTCTCTCCGTCTGTCTGTCTCTCTCTCTCTCTCTCTCTCTCTCTCTCTCTCTCTCTCTCTCTCTCTCTCTCTCTCTCTCTCTCTCTCTCTCTCTTTCCCCAACTCCCCTCCTTTCCCCCTTTTCCCTCTTCCTCTCATCTCTCCCCCTCTTCCTTTTAACCCTGAGGCTCTCATTTGGTCTCATTATCTCCCTCTCTCTTCCTTTGTTCTCTCTCATCTTGCTGTTTTCCTCCTTCTTCTTCTTTTTCTTCCGATATTTTTCTTCTTCTTTCTCTTTATTTTCTTTCTTTCTTTTTCTTACTCTTCTTCTTATCATTCCTTCCTTAAGTCCTTTTTTCTTCTTCTTTTCCTACTTCTTCTTCTTCTTCCCCAATTCCTCATTCCTTCGGGTCATTGAAGTGCCAAAAATTCGCATAAAATTCTTCGGCGGAGAGAGCGAGTCTTTCGGCCACGCCCTTCCTCCTCTCCCCCTCCACCTACTCATCTTCCTCTTCCTCCCCTCCTCCCTGTTTTCTCCCTTCTTATCTCCCCCCTCCTTTCCTCCCCTTTCTTATCTTCCCTTTTCCCTCCTGCTTCTCATCTTCCCCCTCCTCCCTTCATCCCTTCACCTTACACTTTTCCTCCTCCTCTCCCTTATCTACCTCTTCCTTCCCCTTCCCCTCCCTTTCTCTTATACCCTCTTCCTCTTTCCCTCCTCCTTTCCTCCCCTTCCTTATCTTCCTTTTACCCTCCTTCCTCCCTCCCCTCTTCCTCTCCCTCTTCTCATCTTGCCTCCTCCTCCCCCCCCCCTCCCCTCTTCCCCTCCCTCTTCTCACCTTCCTCCTCCTCCCCTTCTCATCTTTTTCCTCCTTTCTCTCCCTCCTTCTATCTCTCCTTCTTCTCATGTTCCTTCTTAATATCTCTCTTCTCTTTCCTTTTCTATTTCTCCATTCTTGTTTCTCCATCTTGATTTCTCCTGTTTTTCCTCCTTCTTTCCTGTCCTTTCCCGCCTCTCCCACCTCCTATTTTCCGCCTTCTCTCTTCTCTTTCGCTCTTTTCCCTGTTCTTTTTTATCTTCTATTCCTGTCTTCGTCTCACCTCTCTTTCTTGCTTCCTTTATAGCTTCCAATATTTCTACTTTTATCTTTTCATCTCTTTCCTATTCGTCCCAATCCTCCTATTTCTTCTCACATCCCTCTCCTTTTACTTTCCTCTTATCCACATTCTCCTTCCTTCCTTCCTCTCCTTCTTTCCCTCATAACATTTCCCTTCGATTTCTCCTTCCTATATTTTCCTTCCCCTCTCTCCCTTTTCCCGATTTATTTCTCTTTCTTTACTCCCCATTCATTACCACCCATTGCCCCATCTCCTGCTTTTTTTCAGTATTTCTCCCTCCCTCCATCCCCCTCTATACTCCTCCCCCTCTCCATTCCCTTCTCCCTCCCTCCATCCCCCTCTATACTCCTCCCCCTCTCCATTCCCTTCTCCCTCTATCCCCCTCTCTCTCCCCTCCGTCTTTCCCTTTCCATTTTCATCCCCCCTACTCCGTCCTTCTTCCCCTATCATTCTCCCTCCTTCCCTTCTCCTCTTTCATCATCCTCCCCTCCTCTTCCTCCGTCCCCCAGCTTCCACTCCCTCCCCCCTCCTCCCTTTACATCTTCCTCCCCTTTCTAAACCGTCCCCTTTCCCCTTTCCCTCTCCCTCCCCCTCTCCCCTCTCCCCTCCTCCTCTCCTCTCCCCTCCCTCCCCTCTCGCCTTCCCCTACCCCTCCTCCCCACCTATATCGTGACTCCTTCGCTAATGCCCCATTTACATTGCACGTTTACGGCATAATGACCCCAGGGTATCTCCATGATGCAATTGCAACCTATAAAACCTAATCGCTACGCAGGAAAAAGGAAAGTTTCTCGGGGGTGTCTTCATTTTTTTAGAAGGCTGATTTTTTTTTTTTTTATGCTCTCTTTCTTTCTTCCTTTGTCTGTTTGTGTTTGTGTCTGTGTCTCTGTCTCCATTTCTGTTTCTGTCTCTATTTCTGTCTCTGTCTCTATTTTTGTCTATGTCTCTATTTCTGTCTCTGTCTCTGTTTCTGTCTCTATATCTGTCTGTCTGTCTGTCTGTCTCTCTCTCTCTCTCTCTCTCTCTCTCTCTCTCTCTCTATATATATATATATATATATATATATATATATATATATATATATATATATATATATATATATATATATATATATATATATATATACATATATATATATATGCCATGCCATTTCTTTCACTCCTTTTATATTTCGTTTCATCTTTGCTTCTCTCTATTTTCCCCTATTCCTTTTTTTTTTCCATCTTTTTAAAGTTAAGTCTCTTTCTTCATTCGTATAGCAAGCCCGCATATAATGAACAGACACTGAGGAAGTCTCAACACCATCATCATTTTCCCATAAAGATTCTTGTTTACCTCTTTGCAACAACACAGCGTCCATCCCTTGCAACACCACCTGCTTAGCCTCTCTCCAAATACCCACAAATAATCTGCATTTACTCCTCTGACATTCATCTCCATCTTCTGCAACTTTATCTCTTCTCCCCCCCCCCTTTCATCTCCATCTTCGTAAACAGCATCTTCCCAGAAGCAGAGGGAGGAGGAGGAGGAGGAGGGGGAGGGAGAGAGGGAGAGGAAAAGGGGAGGTAGAGCAGAAAGATGGAAAGGGAGAGGAGAGGGGAAGGGGAATTTGGGATAGAGGAGGAGGAGGTGGAGGGGAGGAAGATGGAAAGGGAGGGGAGAGGGGAGGGGAGATGAGGGATGGAGGAGGAAGAGGAGGAGAGAAGGAGGGTGAAATACGAGACGGAGGGGAAGGAGAACGCTATATTATAATCGCTCTCACATGCTGTTGAGGGCACTGTAGGTTCGCCATATGTCTCCCATATGGCTTCTTAAGGATTGCTCTTTTGGGTCTAAATGTGTCTTGGATTCTCTTTGTGTCACTTTAGGTAGTGTAGGTCTTTATATTTTATGATTATTGTTTTTATTATTGTTATCACTGTTGTCTTTATTACTTTTACCGTTATTACTGTTGTTGTTGTTATTATTCTTATTATTATCTTTATTATTATTGTTTTACCATTATATCATTATTGCTTTTATTGTTAATATCAACACTTATTACTATTATTATTATTATTATCATTACCATCATCGTTATCGCTATCATTATTAATATTATTCTCACCATTGTTGCTATCATTATATACTCATTTTATTATTATTATATAATCATTATAATTCTTATCATTATCATTATCTTTCTTGCAATCATCCTCGTTATTATCATTATCATCATTATCATAATTATCATTATTATTATCATTCCCATAATTATTATCAATATTGTGAATTTCTTTATCATCATCATTATCACTATCATTATCATTATTATTGTTGTTATTATCATTGTTATTATTATTATCATCATTATTATTGATATTTTTTATTATCATAATCATTATTGTTATTATCATTATTATCAGTGTTTTTATCATCATCATTATTATTATTATTATTATTTTATTGTTGCTGTTTTTATAAATATTATTGTTTTATTATCCTCAATGTTATCATTATTATCATTATTATTGTTATTACTATTATCATAAACATTATCATTATTATTATTATTATTATCATCATTATTATTATTATTAATACTATCATCATTATCAACATTATTATCATTACTACTATTATTATCATCATCATTATCATTACTAATACTACTATCTTTATTGCTGTTGTCATTACCGTTACTACCATTATTACTATCCAAATTAGTGTCATTTTTATTAATATTGTTGTCATCATTACAGACATTTTTCATTATTTTCGTTATCATTAGTGTTATCATTGCCGATGTTGTAGTTGATGTTCTTGTTAGTATCATTATGACAATGACTCTTATCATCATCAGTATTCCTAAATAAATTATCTTTCACAAATTACTCTTATCGCTATTACCATACCCCCATAATCATTACTATCCTCTGCCACTTCCTTCTTCATCCTAATCTTTCTCTTTATCTCCCTTCTTCATCCTATCTCCCTTTTTTATCTCCCTTCCTCTCTCTCCCACGCAGGGCAAACCTTTAGAACACCGCACCAACCGGGGCATCATTATACAGAACCAGACGTTAGTGTTGCAGAAAATCAACCGAGAATCAGCTGGATTTTACACCTGTCGAGCAGTTAATATGGAGGGGGAGGGAGAGAGCCAGCCCGTGGAACTCCAAGTTATGTGTAAGTATTTTTTTGGTTTAAAGATTATGGTGGGGGGAGGGGCGTATGGGATGGGCTTGTGTGTGTGGAGGGGGGTGTGAGTGCATGTGTGTGTGTGTGGAGGTGGGGTGGGGGGTTGTGAGTGCATGTGTGTGTGTGTGTGTGTGGGAGGGGGGTGTGAGTGCATGTGTGGTGTGTGGAGGGGGGTGTGAGTGCATGTGTGTGTGTGTGTGGGTGGAGGGGGGGTTTGTGCTGTGCATGTTGTTGTGTGTGTGTTGGAGGGGTGTGTGAGTGCCATGTGTTGAGTGTGTTGTGTGTGTGGAGGGGGGGTGAGGCATGTGTTGTGTGTGCTGTGTTGTGTGTGTGTGTGTTGTGTGTGTGTGTGTTGTGTGTGTGTGTGTTGTGTGTGTGTGTGTATGTGTGTGTGTGTGTCTGTATGTGTGTGTGTGTGTGTCTGTATGTGTGTGTGTGTGTGTTGTGTGGAGGGGGGTTGTGAGTGCATGTGTTGTGTGTGTGTGTGTCTGTATGTGTGTGTGTGTGTTGTGGAGGGGGGTGTGAGTGCATGTTGTGTGTGTGTGGAGGGGGGTTGTGAGTGCATGTGTTGTGTGTGTGGAGGGGGGTTGTGAGTGCATGTGTTGTGTGTGTGGAGGGGGGTTGTGAGTGCATGTGTGTGGTGTGTGTGGAGGGGGGTTGTGAGTGCATGTGTGTGTGTGGAGGGGGTGTGAGTGCATGTTGTGTGTGTGTGTGTTGTGTGTGTGGAGGGGGTGTGAGTGCATGTTGTGTGTGTGTGTGTTGTGTGTGTGTGTGTCTGTATGTGTGTGTGTGTGTTGTGTGTGTGTGTGTCTGTATGTGTGTGTGTGTGGAGGGGGGTTGTGAGTGCATGTGTGGTGTGTGTGGAGGGGTGTGTGAGTGCATGTGTGTGTGTGTGTCTGTATGTGTGTGTGTGTGAGGGGGGTGTGAGTGCTGTGTGTGTGTGTGTCTGTATGTGTGTGTGTGTGTCTGTATGTGTGTGTGTGTGTCTGTATGTGTGTGTGTGTGTCTGTATGTGTGTGTGTGTGAGGGGGGTGTGAGTGCATGTGTTGTGTGTGTGGAGGGGGTGTGAGTGCATGTGTGTGTGTGGAGGGGGGGTGAGTGCATGTGTGTGTGTGGAGGGGGGTGTGAGGCATGTGTGTGTGTGTGGAGGGGGTGTGAGTGCATGTGTGGTGTGTGTGGAGGGGGGTTGTGAGTGCATGTGTGGTGTGTGTGTGTGGAGGGGGGGGGGGTGAGTGCATGTGTGTGTGTGGAGGGGGTGTGAGTGCATGTGTGTGTTGTGTGTGTGTGTGTTGTGTGTGTGTGTGGTGTGTGGAGGGGGTGTGAGTGCATGTGTGTGTGTGTGTGTGTGTGAGGGGGGTGTGAGTGCATGTGGTGTGTGTGTGGAGGGGGGTGTGAGTGCATGTGTGTGTGTGTGTGTGTGGAGGGGGGGTGTGAGTGCATGTGTGTGTGTGTGTGTGGAGGGGGGTGTGAGTGCATGTGTGTGTGTGTGTGTGTGTGGAGGGGGGTGTGAGTGCATGTGTGTGTGTGTGTGTGTGGGAGGGGTGTGTGAGTGCATGTGTGTGTGTGTGTGTTGGGGAGGGGGTGTGAGTGCATGTGTGGTGTGTGTGTGTGGGAGGGGGGTGTGAGTGCATGTGTGTTGTGTGTGGAGGGGGGTGTGAGTGCATGTGGTGTGTGTGTGTGTGGAGGGGGGTGTGAGTGCATGTGTGTGTGTGTGTGTGGCGTGTGTGGAGGGGGTGTGAGTGCATGTGTGTGTGTGTGTGGAGGGGGGTGTGAGTGCATGTGTGTGTGTGTAGTGGAGGGGGGTGTGAGTGTGTGTGTGTGTGTGTGTGTGGAGGGGGGGTGAGTGCATGTGTGTGTGTGTGTGTATGTGTGTGTGTGTGTGTGTGGAGGGGGGTGTGAGTGCATGTGTGTGTGTGTGAGTGTGTGTGTGTGTGTGTGTGTGTCTGTATGTGTGTGTGTGTGTGTGTGTGTTTTGATGAATGGGTTGTATATCTTTATCAGGTATATGCTGGGTACATTGTGTATAAAAGGATATGGTTGTTTTTGTGTTATATATTACATGTATGTGATGCTGACTGATGCTGTTTATGTATTTGGAGTTGTATTTGTTGTTGCTGTATAAATGTACGTTTGTATATAAATGTGTGACTGCAATTTATTTTGATCAACTATCAGTAGAAGGATCAGTAATTTAGATGCCTGTATATATATATATATATATATATATATATATATATATATATATATATATATATATATATATTTATATACATATATATATATATATATATATATATATATATGTATATATATATATATATATATATATATATATATATATATATATATATATATATATATATACATATATATACACACATACATATATATATATATATATATATATATATATATATATATATATATATATATATATATATATGTATGTGTATATATATATGTATATATATATATATATATATATATATATATATATATATATATATATATATATATATATAAATATCTCCGTATCTGCTAAAGGGCATTATAGTGAGTGTACTAATATTCAGGAGTTGCATCTATAATGTACAATGGATCAAGTATTATAACACGTGATGGATAGTGTATCTTATTACCGTTGCTTTTCTTTTTACTCCATATATTATCTGTTTGGTAAGTGGATCCCTGAACAGCCATGGATTGATACACATCATGCAATGTCCTTACGCCGAACAGATAAACGCATTAACATAATGGGAAACTGTATCCGTTACGCATCAATAGCTGAGAGGTTTTACCCATAATATACGTATGTTACATCATTTCTGAAGGTCATCCATGTATGTCAGATGCTGAAGCCGACTCTGTAATTTGGAGTTTCTGGTTCGAAACAATCCTTTGTAAATATTGGAAGCACGTCAGCTGTGGAATGAGTTAATTATTCAGTTCCTCATTATCATACCTGCTTAGAGCGAAGGGTAATGTTTAAAAATCTCAAATGCCAAAGGTCCATCTGTGCAATTATTCATGTTGCACTTACTAATCATCATTACTCTTGCTAATCTCCTTACCTCTGTTATCACTGATGGAAAAAGATGATTTAATGGAACGTTTTATTCCTGAAATGATGTAACAGTTTAAGATAAAATTAGAATTTCTAATCTAAAGGTGATATTCATGCTAATATAGTATTCAAAATAGTAATAACATTACCTATAAGGTGTACATATATATATATATATATATATATATATATATATATATATATATATATATATATATATATATATATGTATATATATATATATATATATATATATATATATATATATATATATATACATATATATATATATATATATATATATATATATATATATATATATATATATATATATATATATATATATATATATATACTTATATATATATATATATATATATATATATATATGTATATATATATGATTCTTTTTTTTATATAGCTGTGTGTGTGTACTGTATATTTATATGTCTACAGAGAGATAGACTGAGAGATAGATATGCAGGTAGAAATATCAGCAGACATAGATAGACGAACAGAGAGACAGACAGGTATAGACAGATAGATATGCATGTTTCTGTGCGGTTATAGGCGTAAATAAGAGAGTGTATGTCTAAACTATAAATATACATAAATAAAGAAAATGCGACAAAGGATGTAAAAAAAATACCAAACAAGCATACAAACAAATAAACAAACAAGCACAAGAAAATGCACAAGGCGACTTGCACCAAAACTTATTTAAGAAACGAATTTACGCTCACTCTTGCATGAAAAAGCTTTTATAAATAGGTTAAGACGCGAAATGCCACGTTTCTCTTTCGTGAATCAAAGGGTAAGGTACGTTCATAGAGGAAAAGGAAGCTAGATATACTTACACGTTGCATGTATACATTCATAGAGACAAGCGTGAATGACATGCTGTATGTGTCGATGGGCAGTACATGCGTTCATCCATGTGTTTACATGCATGCAGACTTATTCGTGTTATACCTATAGAAAAGCATTTTTTCATGCTCGAATATACGTATTTTATTTTTTTATTTTTTACACATGCACTACTGCATATCCACACAAACACATAAAAAAATAAGTAAACGCACAGAAACAAACAAACATACGCACAGGCGTACACATACACAAAAAAGCATGCATACTCCCCCACACACACATGCACATAAGCAAACACATACACATACATAAACAAATATCCATGTACTCACACACACACACACAACGCACACACACATAGACATATACACAAACACGCGCACACACACACACGCACACATAATGTGAACCTTTTTGACCTTAATAAGGAAAATGACAGCATGAAGATATAGAGAGGGTTCTATTAGCCCGCAGAGACTTATCATTCAGACAGACTGACGCGCTTTCGGGAAATAACTCATTAAGCGGTAATTAAGAAGTTGGAGAATGATTATGGCATCTTGGTTATTAGAATAATGCGTATGATTTGTATTTTCAATGTACGTATATATCTAAATGTACATTATCCCATTGCCGCCGGGGAAATTGAATAAAAAATGGGGAAAATGCTGGGTTATTTTTTTTATATTTCTGTGAAATGTCTCTGCACATAGTTGGCTCCGCTTGTGCTTAGCCGCAAAGGAGTCAGTTAGTAGACCTTGAGACCTTATTTGATTTCACCTTTCCTTGAATTGGCGGGAAAAACGTATTTTTTACTAGTGCTATAAACATCGACAGTGTTGTTTTTATTATAAACATTATAATTTCTATAATGTTATAAACATTTGTAACAGCAAAATAAGAAACGTAAAATATTTTCGTAAATCAAGGAAAAGGGTGAACGGGCGAGACAGGCAGTGCTCATAACTGGCTGATGACGTAGTGCAGTGTAGCTATCTATGTGTAAAAACAACTAAACAAGTAAACTCACAGTGGGAATAGCATGTACGTACATGCCATGCCCGTCGGCAATGTGTTAATATATATGTGAATTAGGATAATATTAACAAGAATACTGATATTAATACTAAAACTAGTTTCGATAATTTTCCTGCTACTTCTACGTCTACTATTACCAGCAATAATAACAATGGCCATGATAAAATGAAAGTATTGGTAATAATAGTATTGTTAATAATACCGATATTCATAGTGATAATAATGATAATGAGGGTAATATAGATAATGACAATGATAGCAATAATGGTAATATTGACAATAGTAACGGTAACAGTCCTATTGACAATAATAGTAAAGATAAACTGATAATTATAATAATAATGCTAATAATACCATCACCAAGTATCATAATGAGAGCAATGCATATCACCCCAACAACAACAAAAACAGCAAACAATAAGGAGAGCAATATTTCAATGAGAATGATTATCCCAATTCTTCACTTCTCTCATCTAATTGCTCTGATGGAGGACCCGTACTGAAAGGGCAGGTTCTTCTCAGGTTCAAAACGCTTCCTCTCCTTTAACAAACTCCATTACAAACCGCAGCATAAATCGGTCAGTGTCAGTCATTTATTCTGCTTTGTCTCTTAAAGGAATTTATGCACTTTTGCTTCAATGGGAGGATGGGAAATCAGACACAGCGTCCCGTAAAGAGGACAGTAACGGTTCACTGTGTATGGGAATCCGAAACGCTCCCATCAAGAATGTATAAAACGAAATGCCACTTGATACTCCAACTTTAACATGTAAATGTCCATTAGCGTCACTTTACAAGTTTTGCATCGTAATGCATCTTAGGAGTCCCAAAGTCTTCTATTAAGTCTTCCATTAAATGCTTGTGACTTGTAAGGGCTTGAGATGAGGGAGTTCCGACGTACTTTTAGAGGGAGCGCGCATGGGCATGGGGACCGGGAGGGGGGGGTACATGCACGTACGTTCTTTCCATGTACGTAGAGAGACACTGAAAGAAATATATACATAGCCGCGGTTTTAGTGTAATGTTCTAATGATGAAATAATAGTCAGAGAGAGAGAGAGAGACAGACAGACAGACAGACAGAGAGAGAAATTGGGAGATAAAGAGAGAGAAAGAGAGACAGACAGAAAGAGAGAGGAGGAAATACAGGTAGACAAATATAAACAGAGAGACAGACAGGCAGAGAAAGACAGAAACAAAGAGGGAAAAAAATCAGGAACAAACCAACCTAGCTGGTTTTACCTTAGACCTTGAGCCCTTAACCCATCAATTTAATCTCTCCTAATCACCCTTCCCCCCCACCCCCCTGCAGATAAGCCGTACTGCCGGCAGCACAGAAAGACAGTGTACGGCACAGCTTTGCACGAGCCAGCCAGCGTGACGTGCGAAGTCGAAGCCAATCCCGGTCCCGTGACGTTTCGATGGACCTTTAACAACACATCTGAACACCTGCCGATCCCCGCGTCAGCTGTGTCGTCGCACGTAAGAGAATGCTTTTTTAAAACACGTCACTTTTGTGTTTATCGGTATTTTTTTTCTCGTTCTTTCTTTCTATCTATCTTGCTTAGCTTTTCGTTTTAGGGAGGGTGATTCTCCTCCGCTTGCACCTAAAATGGGGAAGAGGAGGAGGATGGGGAAGGGGGAAAGGAGGAGGGAGAAAGAGAAAAAGGGGAAGGTAGAAGGGAAAAAGTGGGGAAGGGAGATATGGGAAAGAGGAAAGGGAGAAGAGGGAAAGGGCGAAGGGAGAGGGACTTCATTGACAGAAACACGACGTTATAAACCCGCCAACTGTTTC